CCCCCCCCCTGCCCCCTTGGTGACGCTGTGTCCCACCGCCACTCCTGTGCGCTTGCGTCCGCAGTTCGCCTTCAACGCGTCGTTCAACTGCCCGCTGCGCAAGCTCCGCATCCCGATGGCCTCACTGGAGGAGAGTCACAACCCGAAGCGAGTGGAGGAGGACAGAGGGTGAGAAAAAAACACAAGAGAAAAGAAGAGGAGGCGCTGCATTGTACCGCACCGGGGTGGTTGGTTGTGTAGTACATTGTAGCATTCGATTGTCACGTGTGCGGGTTGTTGGGTGTATGGGCTGTTGGGTGCGTAGGCTATTGGGTGTATGGGCTGTTGGGTGCGTAGGCTATTGGGTGTATGGGCTGTTGGGTGCGTAGGCTATTGGGTGTATGGGTTGTTGCGTGTATGGCTATTTTGTGTGTGAGTAGGGGTATGGGTTTGGTGTATGGGTTGAGTGGGTGGGTTGGGTGGGTGGATTTGAGTGTGGAGGTTGAGTGTACCATGGTATGGGTGGGGTGGGTGGATAGGGTGCATGGGGTTTGTGGGTGGTGCCAACAGCTCTGGTCACGCTGCTTTTGTGTCATGCCGCAAGTTTCCCTCGTACGTGAACCGAGGACACCCTTCACGAGACCCTAAGAAAAGACCCCCACAAAGCTCCCTCTTGTCATGTAACAGGTATTGTCGACCAGTTTGCCAGTCGTCACGTCTACCGGAAGGTATGCTAGTCCCTTTCCCCTCACCCCCCCCTGTCTCTCGTGGCTTCCTTCACCTCTACCGTGTGTTTTGTTTTGCTGTTTAGCATCGCGATCGAGGCGGCGATCGTTCGCATCATGAAGGCGCGCAAGACGATCGGACACCCTCAGCTGGTAGCGGAGGTGCTGAGCCAGCTCTCGTTCTTTAGGCCCAACCCCAAGGTATGGATGCGAACCCAATCCGTTTTTGAGAGACGCGTGCGTGTTTCCCCCTCGTGTGCCATACCTGGCACTCGTGCGCTTGTTGTCGTGATGCACACGCGGCTGGCGCCTGGAGCGATGTTGCGGAATGCAGATTCGGATAATGATTCTAGTGATGGAAGACGGTTCAATTGTTTCGGACTTAGTAGTTGAGATAGATTTCATTTTGTCTAGTCCTTGCTTGGAATGATGCTAACTTGCCGGTTATGTTTCGCACCAATCAGAGCGTGATTTGGGCTTGTCAAGAGATACGTTTTACAGCGCGGGTTGGGGTGCTTTCCCCATGTTTTTCTCCCTGTCTTTTTTTGCTGTGCTGCCAATTGTTGCCGACCCTGTTCATTATTTGTCTTTGTGTTGCCAAAAATCAAGTAATGGTGCTCTGTTGCCGACCCTTTCTATGTTTTTTACATTTTGGCCATAATGAAGTATAATAACCCTTCTCTGCCCGCCCCCCCACCCCCCCCCGGAATCTTTGAAAATCATCACTTGTTGTTCAGGTCATCAAGGCCCGCATCCACGGTCTGATCGAACGCGAGTACTTGGAGCGCGACGCATCCCAGGCCAACCACTACAACTACCTCGCGTGATGGCGTGTGGCGGCGGTAGCGTTTTTTGGGGGGTTGGTCGAAAACACTTGGCTTGCGTTCCTCTGGAAGACGATGGGATACCAGCTCAACTGTCTCGCGTGACGGCGTGTGTTTAGGGGTTGGTCGAACAAACTTGGCGTGCATTCCTCGTTGTGTGACATAACTACAACTGTCTCGCGTGATGGCGTGTGTGTGGGGGTGGTCGAACAAACTTGGCTCGCGTTCCACATGATGCGGGGTATTCTACGGTGACCAGGGCTCGGTGGTCGAACAAACATGACTCGCGTGCGTTCCACGTGAAGGGGGGTATTCTACGGTTACCAGAACTCGTTGTGTTTGGGAGGGGAGGTGCCTTTCACACGGGAGCCCCGCATCTGCGCAGCGGGTTCGGTCTGAAGTATCCGCATGGTAGGCGTGTGTGCTATCATGTGTTTCCTCGGCCGTTGTGCCTCTTCACCGCGTTGGAGAAGCACCTCTGTCGGCGCGTGGAGCACGGTCGAGGGTCTCCGTTTGTGTTCGTGGCAACATGTGTGGTTCCGAACAGGACTCACGAACGGGGCGACCAGAATTAGACAACCAGAGAGTAGGCCCAGTGGGTAGGTGATGCCTCGCGAGTGTGGTGTAACTCATGTTGTGATTTTTTTCTCTCGTTGTTTTAGAGTGCGCGATACACACACACAAACATTCACGACACGCGAGTGCGCATGCCAGTCCGGCTTTTTTTTTTCGTTGTCCACGCGAACCCTTCACGGAGGCCTTTGCCTAACCCGTTGCGTTCGTTCGCAACGACCGCAGTATTTCAAAGTTGTTTTTCACAAGTGTTATTGGCTTGAGGCTCGAGGCCGAAAAGCTGGGGATGGCGTTTTTGCATGGAGGTTCCAGCGGAAAGCCGAACTTCGGTGTGTATGTGCTGTTCGGCACGATATTACCAAGGCATTTCATAGGGCGAGTTGCCAAGGGCCGTTATTGCAGGACCCCCCCCCCCCCCCCCCCNCCCCCCCCCCCCCCCCCCTCCCGCTCAACAGACCACGATGACTCGCAAAGTTATCACTGATGGTCTCTCTATTCCATTTTTAGCGTCGGCTTTAGCTTCCGCCTCATTTCATTTTGTCTCCAGGATACAAAGCGATCCTCCACAGTGCTTGCATCATCTTGCTGTGACCGGCTCGTCCCTTTCCCTCCGACCGCGCCGGCCGGTGTAGTTTTCCCACGGAGGCCCACCCTGGGACGCGTTTTAGGTCAGTCTTGGCCCGGCTCCGTTTGCTTGGGGGGGGGGG